ATTTAATGGCTATGGTGCCTAGAGTAGGATTTATCACCCAGTAACCTCGACAACAGGGACAAAACTTAATGTTTATTCTTGGTGCCAACACATACTATAATTTTACCACATTACATGTTTCTGTGAGGGGATTATGCTTGTTTCCTGTACTTCTGTAAGACAAGGCTGAGGTCAATAAGCTGTGGTTATCATTCTATTAGGGTGCATGTCGTACTAACACAATAGGCAGGGGCGGAGCTAGACTTTTTTGGAAGGGGTGGCCAAGGTGGGTTTTTTTAGAAAGGGCACATGCAAACAAAATTCAAGATGGCTGTCACAGCTAGTTCCAAATGACTTTAATTCAACTGTTTTAAACAATATTGAGCTGAAATTTTATGTGATTGTAGCAAAGAATGCTGAACAGAAACCTGCTGAAATTGTTTTTCAGCCATTTTTAAACATGCTGTCCAAAGCTGAAGATAGTGTAAACGTAGCCAAAAATAAAATTTACCAAATTCTAAATGCTCATTGAAAATTCAAGATGGCAGCCACGTCTTACTTTAAAAGGCTAAAAGACCATTTTAAGATTTTTTGATCGAAGTCTTTTTATTATTTTTTAACACAAACTACAGAAAAAAACAAACTAACAAAAACACAAAACAAAACACACACACCCAAAATCCCTCCCATCCCTCCCCTCCTATACCGGATCTACTGCAACAACATAAAACCATCTTGTATTCATCAAATGATACAATGCACAGATTTATAACACAAACTACAGAAAAGAACAAACTAACAAAAACACAAAACAAAACAAAACACACCCAAAATCCCTCCCATCCCACCCCTCCTATACCAGATCTACTGCAACAACATAAAACCATCTAGTATTCATAAATCAATGATACAATACACAGGTTTGTGTACAGTGAAACAATATTTGATCTTTACACAAAATGATCTGCCGAAATTTTTTCTACGTACGATATAAATGGCAGCCAGATGTCAAAGAATTTGTTTA